CTTTTTTATTTTGTATCTTTCAGTGTCTTTTGTTGTATAAGTTAATGCTAAATCCTACACATAGTGTATGACTGATTATCCTCCTATATAGAGGCCTGTGTGAGACTAGGGAAACTGATCACAAAGCTTAGCTCATGGCAACTGGTGGCCGGCCCCATCTAGCAGGCAGGCTTAAGGGGACACATCTCCTTCTGTGCTGCTGCTGGCATGAGATTGTGAGCCTAGGAAGTCCAATGTGGCTTCAGTTCTGTGCATTCAGAATCTTTTTCAAGATTTCTTGGGTCTTATGTGGAAGTAAGTGCACCATGTTTAAATGCCAAATGTGGATGGAGCATATTTTCTGTTCGACCCATTTGTGCAGCTACTTTCAAATAATCACTCAGAGGTTTATATTAATTATTAATGTTTTTCCAATGGCTCAGACTTATTATTAGTTAGCTCTTACATTTAAATTAACCCTTATTTTTGTCTTTATTTTGCCACTTGGTTTTTACTTTATTACCTTATTTTGTAACATGTCCTACGTTTTTTTGGTGGCTGGTTGTTGTCCCCTAGATTCTGCACTTCTTCTCCTGTATCTGTGCTTGGATTTACAGCCTGGCTCTATCCTGCTTAGTGACAGGCCAAAGTAGATTTATTTATCAACCAATGAGAGTAACACGTTTGCACCATACATAAAGACATCCCATAGCCATTTTACAAAAGGGGATCTGGGTTTGACATACTTGTTCTGCTATGATGTATGATGCCCTCCATGATGTGGAAAGAAGTTCTTCACTGAGCACATCCTGGTGCTGTGTGTTCTCTGGTCTCTCCTGTCTACTGTCTACTCTACATCTCTACTATCACAGGCAGTAGATCATGGAGGCTTTGGTTCAAACTCATATTCACCTGGGATGGGCTTGAAGAGGTGAGATCAAACCCCAGCTTTTTAGGCTTTTGGTCTTGGGCTCTTCCCACTGAAGTAAGAGTTCTAAGAACCAAAATCTGCATGCCCCTGTCACCTTCTCCTGTTTCTCAATATTTTTTTTTTTTTACAGAAAAGAACATTGGGGAAGAAAACTAGGTTCATGAATGAATGGATAAATATGTGTATATACGAGTGTGTATAGTGTGTGTGTGTGTGTGTGTGTGTGTGTGTGTGAGAGAGAGAGAGAGAGAGAGAGAGAGAGAGAGAGAGAGAGAGAGAGAATCACAGGAGTCAGAATCACAAGGTTAAGTGCTTCAGCCTACTAGTAACTCTTTTGTAAATCAACAGTTGAATAAAAGATAAAGACAAGAGGGGCCATGTGTGCCCTCTGGATATCATCTCACTTGACTGACTGTTTTTTGGAAAACTGCCGAACTGAGGAGGGATTGGAATGTTTGGATTGATCTTTTCTAGGATATCTCCAACTGCAGACTTTGCCCCTCTAACATAGTACTCTGTGCTATCATGCATCGCTCTGTCCTTGTTCTGTTCTGTAAATTCCAGGCAGATGTCTTGTCCTTTATAAATTCTGAGTTCAGCCCTTTCACTCATGGAGAATGATTGACCAGATTTGAATATTCCCTCCATGATCTGAATTATGAAAACTATGTCCAATTTATACCGAGTGTCTTATTCTTTACCTTGTAAATAATATATTCCCTGGTAGTGTTTCTAGTTTTTTCTCAGTTATTTAAAGCACCAAACAAATCTTCCTTCTACTTACTTTGGTCCGCATTTCATTTTGGAAAGTATTATTGTGTTATTATTCATAAACTCATTGTAATTAAAATAAATAATTATACACATATGAATATCTGTGACTTTCTATATTATATCACTGAGCACACCGAAGATTTGTCATCAAAGAAGATTTCTACTCTATAGGTACTCATTTATTTCTGCTTTTGGCCATCTTACTGATGGAGGATGGTCTTGTATCTTATCTGTTGCTATCATTGGTTAACTAATAAAGAAAACTGCTTGACCTGATAGGACAGATAATTATGTAGGCAGAGTAAACAGAACAGAATGCTGGGAGAAAGAAGCCGAGTCAGGCAGTCTCCATGATTCTCCCACCCAACACAGCCGCAGGTTAAGATCTTCCCTGGTAAGCGACCTCGTGGGCTACACAGATTATTAGAAATGGTTTAGATCAATATGTAAGAGCTAGCCAATAAGAGGCTGGAACTAATGGGCCAGGCAGTGTTTAAAAGAATACAGTTTCCGTGTAATTATTTTGGGCATTAGCTAGCTATGCGGGAGCCAGGGCGGCCAGAATGCAGCCCTGACGCTCTTATTAAAACATCTTACTTTTGAATAACCATTTGTGGTCAATACATAATATTACTTTTACTTTTTACCTTCTGGGTTTCATATTAATGGGATTATAAAGTATATATATATATTTTTTTGATTTTTCGAGACAGGGTTTCTCTGTGGCTTTGGAGCCTGTCCTGGAACTCGCTCTGTAGACCAGGCTGGTCTCGAACTCACAGAGATCTACCTGCCTCTGCCTCCCGAGTACTGGGATTAAAGGCATGCGCCACCATCGCCCGTCATAAAGTATATTTTTTTATTGTGTTGTTTTAAGCATAAGAAATTATGTAAAGATTTATTTATAATGTTTATGAGTAATTCATTGTATTTTTAGTCATATTTTATTGTGCAGTAGTCACAGTTGTTTAGTTTTTTATTTATAGAGTCGAGGTTACTTAGTGCTTTGTCTGATTAAAAAATAGCATGTTCTAAATGTTTTAAACACACATTCACATCCACATATACACACACATTCACACAAAGATACTCATTTCTGTCAAAAATTTATTTTCTCTGCATTGGTCACTGGAATGTGATGTGGAATATTCTCCTGAATATATGTTACTTTATTGGTTAATGAATATAGCTGTTTTTGACCAGTGATTTGGCAGAGTAAAGCTTAGCAGAAAATCTGCACAGAGATAGAAAAAGTAGGAGATGCCATGTAGCTGCCATAGGAGAGAGACACCATCCATCTCTGAAGGAGAAAAACACCAGAACAATTCCTGCTAAACCACAGCCTCTTGGTGATACACAGAATAATAGAAATGTGTTCATTTAAGATGTAAGAGCTAGCTAGGAACATGTCTTAACTATTGGCAAGTAGTGATATAATTAATATACTTTCTGTGTGATTAATTGGGTCTGGGTGCCTGGAAAGGAAGGAACAGTCTCTGCTTACAGGAATGCTTTTCAGTGTTTTCTGGCACATTTACTCCTTCATGCTCTCTCTCCCCTTATCTATTTCCCTTATTCTTACAAGTATCTCTCCCATATTCATGTCTTTGTGGTTATGTGTGTATGTTTTCTGTGTCTATATGTGTGTGTGTATGTGTGTGTGTGTGTGTGTGTGTATGTGTGTGTGTGGGGGGGGGTGAGAGAGAGAGAGAGAGAGAGAAGGAGGGAGGAAGGTCTATGTGTATGGCATGTATGTGTCAGTGTGTATATATATCAGTGTGACCATACATACACATGTAAGCATGTTGAAGCCAGAGGTTAACACTAGGTGTCATTAGGTATTCTCCTTACTACATCTTACCCTACTTTTTGTGACAGGGTTTTTTTTTTTTCTGAACATGGAACCTCCCAATTAATCCAGACTTGGAGGACAGAAAGGCTGCAGGTCCATCTATCTTTGCCTTGCTATTGATGGAATTATAGGTGCCTGGCTTTTTTTTTTTTCGGTGACTATTGGGTGTCTGTACTTAGGTTGACAAGTGCTTCGTTCACCTACCCATCTCTCAGTCTTAATGTCTGATGTTTGAAGCCAGGAGAAGATGGGTGTCTCAGCTACAAAAGAGGGTAAAGAGAGAATCTGCATCTTTGTTATAATTTTTTTTTCACTTCAAGGACTGAACAGATGTGACAGTACTCAGATATTTCGGGTGAGGGCGCAATATCCTTACACTTTTTACTGATATAAAGTCTACTTCCCTCTGGTTGCAATCTCACACATGGTCAGAAATAAGATCTTCCCACCTATCTAGTATCCTTTAATATAGCAACGTTGACATTGAAATCAATCATCACATTAATACATTTGAAAGTACGGGAAAGTAGATGGACTGAAGATTTGCTGTGAAGAACAGTGCAGCCCCCTTTCTCACATTATTTCTCCTTTTTTGTCTTTTCATCTGTGTGACTGTGAAACCAGCATGAGTATGAGAATGCAATGCTTACATTCAGATGTAGGTAATGACGCAGACATAAGACACAATGCTGCAAAGCAGAACTCCAGGCAGTATTCCTCTGCATGCTTTGAAAGTCCTGAAGCAGATTCCCTCTGCTTGAGGATGCACTGGGAAACTTCATTACAGCTGTTAAGTTTTCAACTAGGATGTGAGGAGGACCACGTGTGACAATGCACTCCTTCCTCTTGGGTTGATTTACAAGTGGCAGAACTGGAAGCTGTCTTGTGCTTGCACTTGGGAAGATGGTGTAATGCTTCCATTTTGCTTTATGATGCTCATTCAGAACTGTGGGTTCAATCTTAATTGTTTTGTCTTCAGGTAAAGTCCTGAACTTAGGCCATGAGCACATTTTCATGAATTTGTGACTAGTGAGAGGCCTAGAGGAAAAGTTTTAGGTGTTTTCCTGGGAAATTAGCTTATGATTGCCATTATTGGAGATTTTAGAACTGAAACCTGGCTAAATGAGTAACAGATATGGCAATAGGATCCAAGTAGAGAAATGACAGAGGAGGCAGAGTCTTATAAATTAGTGAATGGGCTTTTAAAATGTTCATTGTAAATGCTTTCATTGACAGGATTTCTTCAATCACAGTTTAGAGAGTTGTGTTGGAGCAGTAAAGAGGAATTGGGGTTAAAAGACAAGTTAAATATTAACTCATCTTCTATTCACCTGTCAACTCTGATTAAGGAGGGTGAAACAGAGTGTCCTAGATAGTGAGCTGCAGAGAAAAGGTAAAGAGCAAGAGGGCATTTGGAAGACCTAAAAAGATCTTTTCTTTTTTTAAAAAAATTCATTTCAGGGCCAAAGCTATTGCTTTGTGACAGAGGCTCCCAGGGTTCCTTACTGGTGCACATTCTCAACGTCTGGATACTATACCTGTGTTCTGTGAGTTTTACAGATGGCTGAGCATCGGAGTTGGCTTCTAGTGAGCTTATTTTTCACCAAGGTTCTTTTCTTGGAGGCTGCAAAAATACTGACTATAGGTGCAATGGGTGAGTGCCTGATGGGAATGCAGAGTCTTGTAGGACCAGGATATTTGGGAGGGGAGGACATGTCTAAAAACGGCATGTAGTGGATCATCTATGCACGAGATTTTATAGGTAGGCTTAGATCAGATCTGAGGAAAATCATATGGAGTGTGCAATGTGGTGCTTATTAGGGACTGTACAAGAGGGTGGGGGTAAATATTGGATTGAAATAGCATCCGATGTAGAAACAGCCGAATTAGATTGGTCAGTGTATTGTAAAGAAGACAAGAAAGGCTTCTCTACTGGGACTTAGGTTGTGAATAGATGGGAGGCATATTAGTCATAGTGATCAGTCTGTTCTTCCAAAACATGGAGAAGTGAGAATTTCCAGATTCTTTTTATTGCGGGGGGAGGCTAACATATTTGATTTCAAAAGAAGTTCTCTTTCATCTGTATATGCACCCAGTCACTGAAGTTTGCATACCATCAGGCCACCATATTATTCAAGGAAGTGTTATGCTACTCTTAACAGCAGAAATATTCTGGCTCTATTGTTTGTATGGGGGCTCATGATAATTTGTAGGACTCAGGGACATGATCACCAATAAAAGTAACGTTTGGATAAGGGAAAGTACATATTAGTACTAAGTACAACAGTATACTTTAAACCCACATACTCAAACTTATGGGATACTATGAAAGTAGTCCTAAGAGGAAAGTTCATAGCACTAAGTGCCCACTTAGAGAAAACAGAGAAAGCCCATATTGGAGACTTAAAAGCCCACCTGAAAGCTCTAGAAAAAAAAAGAAGCAGACTCAACTAGGAGGAGTAGAAGACTGGAAACAATCAAACTGAGGGCTGAAATCAACAAAATAGAAACACAGAAAACAATCCAAAGAATCAATGAAACAACAAGCTGGTTCCTGGAGAAAATCAACAAGATTGATAAACCCCTATCCAAACTAATCAAACGGCAGAGAGAGAATAGGCAAATTAATAAGATCAGAAATGAAAAGGGGGACATAACCACAGACACAGAGGAAATTCAGAGAATCATTAGATCTTACTACAAAAGCCTGTACGCCACAAAACTGGAAAATGTAAAAGAAATGGACACTTTTTTAGATAAATACCATATACCAAAGTTAAAACAGGACCAGGTGAACAGTCTAAATAGACCTGTTAGTCGCGAAGAATTAGAAGAGGTTATCAAAAACCTCCCTACCAAAAAAAGCCCAGGACCAGATGGTTTCAATGCAGAATTCTACCAGAACTTCCAAGAAGACCTAATACCTATACTCCTTAATGTATTTCAAAATATAGAAACAGAAGAGGCATTGCCAAATTCCTTTTATGAAGCTACAGTTACTCCGATACCAAAACAACACAAAGGGTTTTTGTGTCTTTACACTTACTTTTGGATTTCTTCATGTCAGTCATTTATGACAATCAGGAATCTTTTCATTATTCTCTACAAAAATGAAGTTATGTTTTTTTCTAGGTGTAAGCCATTATAGATTGATGAACCGTGTGTCACTAATTCTTCAAGACCATGGCCATAATGTGACCAGTCTGTTTTATGAAAAGATGTCCATCCCAGGTACTTTTAAAATCAATCTTTATATTAAATTACTTTAAGTAGTAAATACTAACTTTTGATAAAAGTTGTATATTTGGTACTAATTAAATATAAATCTAAGTTAGGGACCTCATCCTATCTGCCCTGCCTGCTTTTTTAACTAACCACCACAACAAAGAAGAAATGGCCTACTACACAGTTTAAAGAGTGTCTGGTCAGTCAGAACACGTATATAAGCATGTCCTGGTGTGATTCTTTGTAGCAAATCACTGAGGATCCCTGATGTTATCGAATTGGTCCCACAAAAACAGAAATACCATCTAACTTGAGACAATCGCCTAGTAAAATGTGGGCTAGACAGGTATTGATATGTTGTTCAGTTGTTATAGTACTTGCCGAGTGTATACAAAGTCCTATATTTGATCACAAGGACCACACATACAAAAAAATATGTGGCACACACTTATTATCACAGAACTCAGAAAGTAGAGAAAGGAGGAACAGAAATCAATATGATTATTTACCATTAAGGAGTTTTGAAGCCCGCTTGGGATACATGAGAACCTTTCTCTAGATGATAGATAGATAGATAGATAGATAGATAGATAGATAGACAGATAGATGACTGATACATATATAGTTGATAGATAAATAGATAGATGACAGAGAGACAGCCTAACAGATGGATCGACAGACACAAAGACAAATTGACAGAAAAGTGGATGGATAGATAGATAGATAGATGATAGATAGATATAAAGAAATAGATGGATTTACAGTTAGTGTTGAAACATGGCCAAAAGAATAAAGCATAGTGAAAAATGACTTGGGCAACTTTGAGAGAGGCAAGGGGGCTTTACCTCAAGTGCATTTTGTTCTCTGGATTTTGGTTGGATATGATTTCCTGCCTCCTGTGATAAACATTTAATAGGACATGGTTATTCTTGATGGATATCAGCACAGAGCTATAGAACACAATAAGCTGAAAGGATAACTTAGTGCTGTCCTCAGTGTGCCCTGATCAGGATATGGTCTTCTGTCTTGATTCTGTGCTTAATCAGATATAATCTACAGTACATTCTTAAATTGCTCTATCCTGAGAAAATTCTGGGAAAGGGCTGCTCTGTTAATATTTCATAAGTGCTTACTGGCATTTATTTACCAACCTTAAACTGAAACGTCTTACTGAAACATTTAAACATTAATTTTTTTCTCTAGATCACTTTCCTTCTGTGATTATTCAGCCTGATAAACCACATGACAGACATCTTGAAGAAGTAATGGTTTCTAGGAATCACATAAATTGAAAGTATTTGATAGTACTAGGGAGGAGGGTTTAATTTTTTTATTGAGCTCTACATTTTTCTATTCTTTCCTCTCTACCATTTCACTCCTCTTCAACCTTCTCCCAAGGTTCTCATGCTCCCAATTTACCCAGGAGATTTTGTCTTTTTCTATTTCACATGTAGATTAGCTCTCTGAATGTCGCTCTTAGTGTCCTCATGGAGGGTTTAATGTTTTAAGTTTATAGTTCTGTGCCATTCTATAACAAGCTTCCTTACACTCAGATCAGTCTGTAAGACCTGTGCTTTTAAGACCTAGAAGAATGAGGTGACTACAGTCTAATGTTATAAAAAATGCTGTACTTCAGTTTTTGTGTACTTTTATACACAAATGTAGGGATGAAAGCAGTGATCCAAGGAATGTCATCTGACTACAGAAAAACAGGATCAGAAAAACTATGTAAGAGAGTAGTTTTGTATTGTGTCACATGATGTAGGAACAATGAAAAGGAAGTTCAGATCCTGTAGTCCCTCATAAAATAATAACAATTATTGAAACTCTCCAGTTAGGTTCATGTGAGGATTCTGTTTTTGGCCTAGGTCTCTTAACTTGAAATTCTTATCAAGAATATGAGAGGATGGATTGAGCTTTTTTTTTTCTGGTAAAATGAGAGATATAACTCGAAATTTCAGGAGTCAAATGTGAATAGTGGAATCAGAGTATTCATTACACATAAGTGCTTAGATGACCAGTGAAAGCATGGTAGATTCTTTCTTAATTCCTTCCTTCCTTCCTTCCTTCCTTCCTTCCTTCTTTCCTTCTTTCTTTCTTTCTTTCTTTCTCTTTCTTTTTTCCTTCTTCCTTCCTTCCTTCATTTCTTCCTTCCTTCCATCCTTCCTACCTTCTGTTTTTTCTCTTTTGATTTAGCATTATGATTTGAGGTAGAACTTTTGAATCTCTTTGTGTGGGTGATATTTTTATTATGCTTTAACAAAACGTTTGCTTGAAAATCAGAGTACAGACAGAGATCGACATTGAGGTCAGGCAATGGTTGCTTGCACCTTTAGTCCAGCACTTGGGAGACACAGGCAGATTGATCTTTGTGAGTTCAAGTCCTCCTTGGAATACATGAGAGTGAATCTGTCTAAAAGAAAAACAGAGTTCACACAAAGATGATCCCAGCACTAGGGAGGTGGATACAGGACTGATATGGTTGAGCAGAGAGAGGAATATAAGGCTGGAGAAGAGAGGAGTTCAGGCAGTGTGAGGATTCCTAGAGGCAGATGCAGACTGAGATGCAGTCAGAGGATTCGTAGGGACAGGATCACCCTTTAGTCTGAGCATTGATAGTGGTAAGAGCTCCAGTGGCTGCCGCTCTCCTTTTCTGACCCTTCAGCTTTCAGCTCCTAATATCTCACTTTGGGTTATTGTTATTAAGACCAATTAGAATTCGTGCTGCATCTTTATAATCTAAGCACATATTTATAATCTAAGTGCTAGTAAGCCTAAAGAAGCAAGATTTTGGGTTGAAAACCAATTAGGTCATTAAATATGGCCTTGCCACAAAAAAAAAGCAGAGCAAAATAAACAAAAAAACAAACAAAAAACAAGGGACAAACATGAAAGGAACAGCAATGAAAAACAAACAGGCAAATGGACACAGTGTATGTTTCATTTTAATTTCCCTATGGAATGCAGGGACTCTATAATCAAACTGACTTGTAGTTTACTACAAGCCTGACTCACTATAATGACAAGGTCAGTGAACCATTTCAGACTATTTTTTTATGCTTTGCCAAGAGTAATGTGAAAAATAGTAGCTGTGTCTTTAAATAAAATCTGTTGCTGGAAATTTTCATTACTGCAGACTGGATAAAAGTTCTAGACCTGGGTGCTGGTGGTGCACACCTTTAATTCCAGCACTCAGGAGGCAGACACAGGTGGATCTCTGTGAATTCAAGTTTAGCCTGTTCTACAGAGTGAGTTACAGGACAGGTTCCAAAGCAGCAGAGATACCTTGTCTAGAAAAACAAACACTAAAAAACAAAAAAATAGAAGTTCTCAAAATACTGTAAAATCTTAATAAGTATTATTTGATTGCAGAACTGAATGATTAAAAGTAGAACAAACCACTGAAGATCAAAAGACAGTTTCCACAAAGATGTGAAACTGAGTCAATTCTTTAATCACTGTAATAATGTGTGGTATATTGTGATAGGTTTAAATATTACTCAATTGGTGTTTTCCTAGATTTAAAAAAGGAGAATATGTCATATGAGATTATAAACTGGAGTCTACCTGAAGATCAAGAAAAGGAATTTGATAATAGAATTTCTCTACTTTTGGAAGAATTATTTATTGACAGGTAATTTGTTTCATTTCTTGGAACCAAAGTATTACGAATCCAGTCTTAAACGTGGGTAGATGATAGTTGCACAATGCTTTGAGTGAATTTAAGAGAAAAGATGAGTGGGTGAATTAATTGGTATAGGGATGGATTGTGTTTGAGTGGTGCATGGTAGATGACTGACAGCTAGATCAACGATGGGATATTCTCTAGAAAGTGGAAGACGTGCCTTTTAGACCTTTTTTTTCTGCATCTTACTTGTCATCTGCTCATGTCCTCTCAATGAAGCCTGTACAGCCACTGCAACCTCTTTAATCAGGGACAGAGGAGACACCTTTTCCATGAACTTTGTCACCTTCCTACATACAATCCCTAATGGAGGACACTCCATTGCGTGTGCATACATCCTCTGTCATGCCTTGGTCCTTTCCTGTTAAACTTGTTTAAAAGCTTTCCTTTTCCTTCCTTTTACTGAAAACAAATTTTTCCTTCATAGTATATCCTGATTACTGTGTGCCTTCCATTTACTCCTCCTAATATCTTTCCCCTCTCCTCCCACCCTCATCTACTCCCTTTATATCATTCATTAGAAAAGAAATAGGCTTCTAAGGGATAATAATGACAAAATATAAAAATATAGTAACATAAAACAAAAATATCATATTCTAGTTGGATAAGAAAAAAAAGGAAAAGAGCCCAAGAGAAGGCACAAGAATCAAAGACCCACACTTTTGTACACTCAGAAATCCCATAAAAACACTAAACTGGAAGCATATATACGTGTGTGTGTGTGTTTACATCCCCCACAGGAGTTAACTCAAAGTCCACTGCAGATCATTTTAAACATCTAAAGGAAAAGGGCCTCTAATAATCTCATATGAAGGTGTTCCCTTAAAGGTACCATCACCTCTATACCACAACATTGAACAACATCTCTCTGACAGAGGAACCCTTGAAGGCAAACCTCAGTTGTTGTGACTTGAAGTTGAGTCGAGAATGAGCAAAGACAGGAGTGTGCCACTGGGTTCTCATCTTGTAGATCTTTTGATGTATGATTTGGAGCACGAATTCTAATGGTCTTAATAAATAAATCTCTGAGTCAGATATTAGGGGGAGAATCCTGAAGGTTCAGAAAACAGTGCAGCCAGACACAAGGATACTTTTACCACTATCAATGCTCAGACCGAAGGGGCGATCCTGTTGTCAGAAAGCATCTCCAGACTCCATCCATCTCTACCAAAACTCAGACTGCTTCCAGCTTGTGTCCTCCTGCCTTATATTCCTCTCTTCCCAGTCATATCACTCCTGTCTCCATCTTCCTAATGCTGAGATTAAAGATGTGTAACTCCCAAATACCAGGATTAAAGGTGTTTACCACCACTGCCTGGCCTCTAGTGGCTTAGTTCTTCACTCTGATATTCAGGCAAGCTTCAATTTTAAAACACAAACAAAGGACCACTAAATAGGATGACATCACCCGCTTGTGCATCTTACCAGGTTGCTTATCTGGTAAGCATTGATGTGAAAGAGGATGACTCATGTTTAGTACAATCGTCAGTGGAAGTTGGAGTCAGTAAGAGTCATGTATTCTGATAATAATCTTCCAATCATACATTGTTTTCCATTAGAATTTTAAATGAGCATATAAAATAGGTCTTGTTATGGATTTTAAAGAATATGTGTCACTATACTTTGTTCTAATTTGCCCCCTTCCTTCAACACACTCTTCCATGACTCCTAATCACTTCTGATGCCTTTATTTTTAAGTGCTTTCATGGCCTGTTTTCTAATTTCATCACCAAAAAAGGAAAATGCACACACACACACACACACACACACACACACACACACACCACATTGCAAACACACACACACAGTTAAGTTTAGGTATCACATAAAACAGAAAAAAGATCAGTAGCTTTTAGAGTATAGGCTTACATTTACCTAGTTGTGGAACACTTTCATTGAGTGATTACAGATGCTAAAAAGAAATCCCACACTAAGAATTGAGTATAATGAAAGGTCATCTACTCAGGGTGGACTCACAGATCATAGTCCTGTTCTTTAAAGGGGAACAGCAACTGATCCCACAGCTAGAAGAGAAGGGGTTGGTGGGCTTTACATAATGGGCAGGTAACTTACAGGCTACCGGCTGTAGGAATTCCTACAGAAATTGAGTTTATCATTTTTCCAAACTGTATGGAATATCTTCCTAAAATATTTTCTATTATTTTTTTTGCAGGTTCAATCATCACACTCTTATCAAGATACATAAATACTTTGCAGACGTATGCAGTCTCATATTAAGCAGAAAGGACATCATGGACTACTTAAAGTATAAGAATTTTGACCTAGTATTTTTGGATGCAGCAGATTCTTGTTTTTTCTTGATTGCTGAGATACTTGAAAAACCATTTGTGGCCTTTCTTCCCACGCAATTTAGCCTTCTGGACTTTGGACTCCCTAGCCCCTTGTCTTATGTTCCAGTGTATGGTTCAAGACTAATTGACCAGATGGACTTCTGGGGCCGAGTAAAGAACTTCCTGATGTTCTTTGATTTCTTCCTGAAACAAAGACAAATACTTTCTCAATATGATGCCACCATACAGGAACATTTTTCAGAAGGCTCTCGGCCAGTTTTGTCTGACCTTCTGCTGAAAGCAGAGCTGTGGTTCGTCAACTCTGACTTTGCCTTTGAATTTGCTCGTCCCCTGCTTCCCAACACAGTCTATGTGGGAGGCTTAATGGACAAACCTGCCAGGCCAATACCTCAAGTAAGTGAAATCTCAGTCCTCAATTTATCTTTAATTCAAAGGCTGACAGTGCTTAAGTGGTGTCTTAGTTAGGGTTTCTGTTGCTGTGAGGAGACACCATGACCAAAGCGACTACCTAAAGGAAAATATTTAATTTCGGTCTCTTACAATTTTAGTTTAGTCTATTATCATCATGGCAGGAAACATGGTGACATGCAGGCAGGTGCTGAGGAAGGAGCTGATAGTCCTACATCTTGATCAACAGGCAACAGGAATTCAACTGGGACAATGGGTATAGCTTTAGCTTAGAAGATTTCAAAGTCCACTCTGCAGTGACACATGTCCTCCAAGTAGGCAACACTTAGTCCAACAGGGCTGTAACTCCTAATAGTGCCACTGCCATGGGGGACATTTTCTTGTTAATCGTCATAGGTGGAAAATGTAAAGGGCAGGCATGTTCTGGAAGAAAGTGCTCTAAAGCAAAGTCGGCACTCTGAGAGTCCATTTTAGGGTTGTGAAGGATGGTGTTAGAACATCCCATGGTATGGTTGAAGACTTGACTGTGTGGTAAAAAGATTGAGTTTCGTTTTTATCTCTCTGTGTTCCTGCCTTTGGTGCAATAAGTCCTTTAGTTAGTATTGGTATTTCCTATTGAATTTAGAGCTATACATGTTAAAAATGCAGTGCATATCCATACATATAATATTTTTTTTTTTGGTTTTTCGAGACAGGGTTTCTCTGTGGCTTTGGAGCCTGTCGTGGAACTAGCTCTGTAGACCATGCTGGTTTCGAACTCAAAGAGATCCACCTGCCTCTGCCTCCCGAGTGCTGGGATTAAAGGCGTGCGCCACCATCGCCCGGCACATATAGTATTTGTTGAGAAGGCAGGCTCTTCATAATGAAACATATAACACTTTTAGAGAGCATATACCTAGACAGAACTTAGCAGTATAGGGAAGAAGAACTGATCCTGCTATGTAGTTTCCTAGCTTGTTGAGCCCTTTCACCCCATCCAGCTACTGCAAACTATCAAAGCTGCACGTAATTTGCATGTTCAGTGCAGACTCAGAGTCACTACAGCTGAAAATTTAGAAGTACAGAGAGCTAAGGATGTTTGATTGTTTGTTACTTGTCACTGTGGGGTCCCCTGTCCCATGCTTGGAGGAATGACCTCCTTTGATTTTATGCAGTGGGGGCCAAAATGCTGAGGTGATGAAAGTAATGTTTTTCCTACTTTCAGATCAAAGCAGAGAAGGTATGGAATTGTTTTCTGGTTTCCATGGTTACCAGATTGCCTACCCTTTCTTGCAGTGGGTGAGAAAAAGTGTTTGGGGAGTGTTCAGTAAGGAATATTTATATTATTTCTAGAAGGAGAAGGAGATTTCTTATATGGGATTTGGAAAAAAATCTCCAGAAAACCCAAGTTTGTGGGATGTAGATGTGACTGACAAGAGACCTCACCTTCTAGACAGGTGACTCAGATATTGGCACAGAGAGATGATAGAATTGATAAGGAGAAGAGTGGGAAGAAATATTTTGAAGTAATACCCGACAAAACAGTCTGGAATCTACTCTGAGGGATGTTCAACCACATGTTTCTTAAAGAAACAAAATACTCTATGGTGGTTTTCATTATAAGGAAAAGAAGACTCCATATCAAAACATTCACAGAGGATTAAAACCTATATATAGGTATTTGAAATTTTGTTTAGCAAACTTAAACACTAACAAATATCATTTCAAATTTGTCAAACAGTTTTTTTAGAATGAAATATGTCATATGTGCACAAGTATGATATAAAAATAAGAACAAAATATTTGGAATTTAAATAAGAAATAGATTTATACTGAAGGCTGCAATTCAACAACAGTTTTGTAATGAGAGGATTATTCATATTAATTATAACCTTAATAACACCATAGGTTATGTAGAACTATTAGAAGTATATAGAGAATTTTTAAAATTTATTCTTTAGGTCATTTTATTTGCGTGAGTGTTTGCATGCATGTAAGTTTATATGCTACTTGCATGGCATGTCTGGCCTCAGAAGAGGGCAGAAGAGAGCACTGGATGTCCTGGAGATAGAGTTGCAGGTGGTTGTGATCAAAGTGTGGGAACTGAACTCTGGTCCTCTGGAGGGACAGCCAATTCTCTTAGCTGCTGAACCAACTTTCCAACAAGAACAGAGCATATGTTCTCTAATGCACAGTACAAATTCCTTGGTTCATGCCTTGGATGACAACACAAAAGCAACCTCAGTAACTTTCAAAATCATGAATTAATGCAAATATCTCTTATCACAGTGGGATGAGATAGAAACCAACAGTACATAATACGAGACAACACAGGATAGTAGAACCACTGAGACTAAGTGAAAAATCAAGAGGAACATTTAGAAAAGTTATATATCAAGGAAAATGATACAAAACACAATGTAAAAATGTAGAATAATAAAAACAAGACTTAAGATATAATTTATAGCAGTTATTATCTTTGTTAATACACACAAGGTGCATGTAGCTGATAACTTACACTTCTTTATAAGGCACAGGTAACAAAGGGAAGACTAAACAGGATGCTCGTGGAAAGAAGAGGCTTGAAAAAATCACAGTGTACATGATTGAAACAATAAACAGAAAAATTAGAATCAGTAATATCAAAAGAGCAGATTGGTGACAAACCATTGGAGTCATTGAGAAAAAAATAACAGAGAAGAATAGAATAATTATATTCTAAAGTGGAAAATTATCTGCTATTACATAAAACAATAAAGATTATGAAGAAATTATTCAAACATATCATCAATTTAGTTATCCTACATGAATTGACAAATTCCTATGCATGTCTGTGAACACAACTGACTCAAAACAGAGAATCTGAAATTGATGTGATTAAATTAGAATAAAATACGAAGATCTTTCATTAAGCATGTCTGATATAACATGGATTAATTGGTGAGCTAAGCGAAACACGTAAGAATTGATACCAGTTCCTCTATAAGTGTTTGTGTCAGTTACACAGGAAAGGCAACTTCTCAACCCATTCTATGAATCTATCCTTACCCTGTAGCCAAAGCTACAAAAGAACACCAGAGTAGATAACATTATGTAACACGGAAAGTGAAGAAATTTTGTATACTATATTTCTAGCATGATTATAAAAGAATACAAATGGTGTCCAAAGGAGTTGTGAGGGGCCTCAAGTTACTAAACAAAGAAAATGCCCTGAACAATCAGTTTATCTTGAAGTTATACTTTAAGCAGTAGAAATAGTTTACTCAAATAAAATCTTGTTTATATGCTTGGCAGTGGTTGCACACACATTTAATCCCAGCACTCAGGAAGCAGAGGCAGACAGATCTCTGTGAGTTTGAGGCCAGCTTGGTCTACAAGAGCTAGTTGCGCGACAGGCCCCAAAGCTACAGAGAAACCCGTCTCGAAAAACAAAACAAAAAAAAATCTTGTTCTTATATTTGCTTGGAAGAGAAATTCATAACAGTCCAATGGTGAAGAGCTGATTGCTAATCAATGCAGTCAGAACACAGCTGTACAGGCTCAACGAGAGGAATCCTATCAAACAAAACACAAGCAACTAAAGCATGGGCTTATTCAACACCTGACCTGGTTTCGTGTCACAGCTGCCTTGGCGTTCACAAACCACTTCTTCCGACTTCTCTCCTTTCTGCTTTATCTAGGACTTGGAGGATTTTATCACTACATTTGGAGACTCAGGTTTTGTCCTTGTGTCCCTGGGCTCTGTAGCATCCTTGTATCAGACCAAGGAACTTATTAAGGAGATGAACAGTGCCTTTGCTCGCCTCCCTCAAGGAGTGCTGTGGACATGTAAGGATGATCAATGGCCCGAAGATGTCAGAATGGCCCCAAATGTCAAAATCATGGATTGGCTTCCCCAGGTTGACCTTCTGGGTAAGCACCTCCTAGACCTGTTACCATTTATGTGTGTTTGGGACTGCATAGATAACCGATGCCTGAGAACTTGACTTGCAAAGTAAAGTCTGTTGATATGTAAAGATAGATCTTCAGCAGGCAGGCAAAAGCAGCTAGAGCTCTTGCGGAAATTAGTCTGTACTCTCGACTGAATAGCAGCAAGTTCCTTATCCTTCCCTACTTCCAAGTCCCTAAACAGACAGGCAGCCTTGAATTATCAGTATTTAAGATTGATCCCTCCAACACAATCTGAACACCATGTGAACTATAGCTGCTCCTTGGGGCAGTTCCCACTATTCTGCTACTATTATCACAATGATGTGAGAACTGCTTCACATTTTTGGAGACACACATATGAATGTAAGCATGCAGATACATCTTGGTTGTCTGGAAAGGGCTGAAAACCCAGACACTTACAAAATTAATATTGGGGTTTTGAGGATGTGGAGGCTGTTTGAGAGCCAACCAGGGTAACCTCACAGTAAGATAAGGAAACACGGATTTCTTGAGCAAAGGGAAATTCCGTTAGCCACCTCCCTAAAATCATTTGTTTCTTGGTGACATCTGTAGACCCATCACTTCCACACTCAATGGCTCAGTCAAAGTTTTATAAATAAAACACTCAAATTTTGTCACTCAAAATAAGATGGGAAATTTTGCACATAGATCTCTGTTCAGGGAAATCACAGCCTATACAATAGGGAAAACATTTGTTTTTCAGGAAACATGGGTAGATTTTGTGTGAGGTATAGTTCTTTATTATCATAAGAAATGTTCGGTTGCTTAATATGGAGCACCAGACAATATCTGTAAACACAGAATCTTTTGCTATACCATCCTCTTTAGTAAACTTCTATTTAAAAAGATGGGAGCTGGGTAGTGGTGGCCCACGCCTTTAATCCCAGCACTCAGGAGGCAGAGGCAGGTGTATCTCTGTGAGTTCGAGACCAGCCTGGTCTACAAGAGCTAGTTCCAGGACAGGCTCCAAAACCGCAGAGAAACCCTGTCTCAAAAAACCAAATAAATAAATAAATAAATAAAATAAAAAAATAAAAAAGATGGGAAATACACAGAATACAAGATTCATAAGAAAGCAGATGTGGATAGCCAGTAAAGGTTGAGGTTAGAAAAGTAAAAAAGACGTATCTATGGAGAAGGTGAGGATGAACAGAAAAACAGAGAACCAGGCCTGGATCGCCATTCTACATATATTCTTCCTTGTCTAGGTCCTTGATAGTTTTAGATTGAAGTAGGCATCTCTCTGCCTAGGGAAGACTAGATTTTATATCGTAAAACACTGAAAATTTCAAAGGAAAAAATCAGTAATACCATTCTCTACAACACACTGGTATTCCTTGGGTCTGATGCTTTACCTGGTATCTGAAACTTTCATAGTGAAATATTGGACCATTTTTGTATTTTGCAACAGCTCATCCTAATATTCGACTCTTTGTCACCCACGGTGGAATGAATAGCATCATGGAGGCCATCCAGCATGGAGTCCCAATGGTGGGGATTCCTTTCTTTGCAGACCAACCTGAAAACATGGTCCTTATGGAAGCCAAGAAAATTGGTGTTACTGTTCATGTAGACACACTCAAGGCAGAGACATTTGCACTTACACTGAAGGAAGTCATAGAAAACAAGAGGTATGCAGCTCTCTGGGGTTGGGGTTGCTTACATTGAATGCAGACCTGACACTAAAGGATCCGTATAGTCTGTTTATCAATAACACTAGAATTTTGTAGAACATGGAAAAATACATGTGTGATACTTGAAGTTCTGGTTTCCCTTTGCTCTTAATCCTAATTTTAATTGAGATGTTGAGAATACATTTGTACTTGGTGTGGTATGATGTTTTCTTCCACACACATTATCTTTATGACCTCTTATATTTTGGTTACCTGTCACTGAATTCCAGTTGAGGCAGGAGAGAACCTTTGTATGTTCTTAAGATGACTGATCTCCTGACTCAGCATATACATATAGAATTCCAGTTGAATCAGAAGAGTACTGTTTTAGTTACTCTCCTATTGCCGTGAGGAGGAACCATGACCAAGGTTGTTGGCAGTGGCTACTTGTTTCTTTCCTGGCTGCTCAAAACCGAAATAATCACACTAACATATATTAATTAAACCACGGCTTGGCCTATTAGCTTATGCATATTTCTTCCTAACTCTTATTATCTTAAATCAACCCATCTCTATTAATCTGGGCATCGCTATTTGTTCATGGCTTATCAGTAAACTTCTGTCCTGCATACTGCATCTGTCTTTTGTGGTGGCTACATGACTTTTCTCTGACTCTGCCTACTCTCTCCTTCTCTCTCTCTGTTTGGAATTCCCACCTTGCCCTATCCTGTGCTGCAATAGACCTAAGTAGTTTTCTTCATTAACCAATCATATTCAGTGCACACACTTTGGAATCCCACATCACAAGTTTATGTATAAGATAAAGCATTTAATTGGGCCTTGCTTACAGATCAGGGGGTTAGGCCATGGCTATAATTTTGGCAAATGTGGCCACAGGCATGGCACAGAGGCTGTAGCTGAGAGCCTCCTCTTGATCTGCAGGCCGGAGGCAGAAAGAACAAAACTTGGAACGATGTGGGCCTTTTTAAAGACCTCCAGCAACAAACCTCCTCCAGCAAAAATCACAATTCTTAATCCTAACTAAACAGTGTATCAACTGGAGCAAACATTCAGATATCTGGTAATGGGGGCCATTGTTCACTCAAACCATGACAAGGACCTTCTCTAGCCCTTACTGCGGTGATCTCCCCTCCTCAGGGTCTTTGTGTTGACCTCCCAGGACAGTCTCTCCAATGGTGTCCTCCTAGGAGACCATGTACTTGGCTGTTATGTTTCTGTTACTGTGCTCAGTCATCATACACTACTCTCTCTTTGACCCTTTAATAGATTGTAATATCTCAGTCACGTGTGTCATTACTGTCTGCCCCACACTAGCACATAGAAAGCCTGCATCACGAGGAAGCACTGACTATCTGTTTCCACTCTGCTCCTAGAGCCAAGGGCAGGCCTGTCATAAAGGAAATTTTCACAAATGTAAAGTAAAGTAGACAGGAACAGAGACAAGAACAGTTGACCCAATATCACTTGCCCAACTTCACAACGATTTCACAAAAACCAGGACTGCACACTCATGTTTCAATGTCTTATTCATATAATCAAATATATATCCTATTGATATGTTAAAATACATTTAATGTGAACAGTATTTCAGTATCATAGCTGCAATCCTTATAAACTTAGTTATTTTTTTTAAATTGCCCTTCAAAGTTTAATTATGATCCTTCTAAGGTTTTATCTTTTTGCTTCTTGTTGTGCCTTTAATGGGGACTCAGATAGACAGTGTTAAGTGTCTGCTAACAATTTTGTTTGAAGCTGGCTATAGACTAGAAAAAAATGTGTGTGTGTGTTTATGTTATAAGGTCTGAAGGACTGGCATAGCACATTGGTAACACATTCTCTCTGTGTCTGTCCATAGGTACAAGACGGCAGCAATGACTGCCAGGGCCATCAGGCGCTCCCACCCCCTCACACCTTCCCAGCGTCTGGTGGGCTGGATTGACCACATCCTACAAACAGGGGGAGGCGCACATCTAAAGCCCCATGGCTTTCAGCAGCCATGGCATGTGCAGCACCTGCTGGATGTCCTGTTGTTCCTGCTGGGGCTCACTCTGGCCACCTTGTGGCTGTTGAAGAAAGTGCTGGGCTTGTTGCTCAAGCCCCTGTGTGTGGCTAGGAAGGAAAAGAAGGCATAAAGTTAAGTTTGACCTGGGGAGGATGTTGTGAGCTCTGGCTCTTTAAGGGCTTCCCAGTTCCCTAGCACAAGGAACTCCCAGGGTTCTCCTCTTTCCCTCTTCCTGCAGGTGGACCTCCAGTTGTCCTCACTATTTTCTGTCTTTTTCATAAGCCTCATACAGTACATTGACAGACTGGCGACTCCTCATTCCCTGGCTCCCCTTGCTCTAGTACAATCCTTCTTTTCCCCGCCGTTTCTCCTCTTCCGTCCTTTCTGCCATTCACAGTGCTGTGAGAGTTTCATCATCTCTGTGACTTCTAGTCTCTGAATCTTACTTCTCCAATCACTTGAGATAAAAACCCCACACTTAACAAATTCTATTTACTCTTTTATTTTTTTTTTGTAATTTATAATCTCTCTTTAGAGATCAGATGCCTAGAGTGCTGTTACCCTGTTTGGTTGGATCAGCCACTCCCAGGATGTAATAAGAACCAGTTTGCCTGAAAATGACAACATACAAATGAAGTAAATACATTTTTCCTGGATAATGAATAAAATAACAAATAAAGTTAACAGAAAGTTGAAGGGTTGTGAGAAATCATTTTTTGATATGACTGGTATGAAAATTTACATAAGGAAAGAAAAAAAGCTACAGTCTGTCCAATTATTGGAGTAACAGTTATATGTAAAATAGAATAAACCTGAGATTTATAAATTGATACAGAATGAACTTCAGTGTTGTTGAGTATGAAGATACAAAATAAAGCGATAAATACGAAATGTCTCATTTTTTCAAGATGGTAGGAGTTAAGGGACAACAAAAAATGTGTGAACTTTCTTCCATAAAATATTATCCTCAAAACAAATATACATGGGAAAATCAGGTGAGGGATCATGTGCAATGTGTGGATGAAGAGCCCCTGTTACGGTTCACACTACACACAGGGATTTGCAAGTGAGCTAGCATTCTATATACAAAATACATTAACTCTTAAGATTCTACCTTATACCTGTCATAATGGCCAATTCAAAATCACTGATGACAGCTTGTGCTAGAGACGATTTGGGGTAAAGGGAAAAGTCCTACATTCCTGGTAGGAGTGCAAATTTGTACAGTTACATTGGTAATTAGTATGGTGATTTCTCAGAAAATTAGAAACAATCTACCTCAAGACCCAGCAAATACCACTGTTGGGTATGTACCCAAAGAATGCTCAATCATACCACAAGGACATGTGCTCTAGTACGTTCACAGGAGCATTACTCATAATACCCGAAAACAACCTACATGTCTCTCCACCAAAGTCTGGATAAAGAGAATGTAGTACACCTACTCAAGGGAGCACTACTCAGCAGTAAAAACTAATGCCATCTTGAAATTAGCAGGCAAATGGATGGATCTAGAAAAAAAAATCCATACTGAGTGACGTAACCCAGATCCATAAATATGAATATAATATATACTCACTCATAAGTGGCTTTTAGACATAAAATAAAGAAAAGCCAGCCTACAGTCCAAAACCCCAGAAAACCTAGACAACAAAGAGTACCCTTAGAGAGATATGCATGAATTTACAAAGGAAGGGTGAAAAAAGGCAAGTTATCCTGATAAATTGGGAGCGTGGGGGTCACAGAAAAGGGTAGAAGGACAGAAGGAACAAAAGGAGGGGAGTGGAGAAAAATGTATAACACAATATAAACAATAAAATAAAGAAAAACCAAAAAAGTTAAAATATAAAAAATAGCTAAAATCTTAAAAATTAATTATGTAAAGAAATGAATGTATTTACTCTCACCAGCATTTTATAAGTATGAAAAGAAAAAAGTATCTAATACTATGTCAGTTGAGAAAGTATAATTGTAATCATTAAATTATCAGATTATAGAGGAATATAATTGTAAAGGAACTTGCCATTTATTATTGGTATTTCAGTTTTGCAGATTATCATTTGAGAATGCATTATTTTCACTTAGGTTGAGAAAATGTATAAATAAATAATTTGATACATTGAGAGGTTTCACAGACACCTAAAGAAGAATCCAAAATGGATATTTGAGAAGAATAACAAGGTTACCATATGGGCTTATGTTTCAGCTTAAGAGGTGACCGAAAATTCATAATTTATCTTGTAAAGATAAGAAGAACACAACACAGAGGTATAGATACGAAATTTTTATAGTCTCAGCTATCCTGTTATTCCCTAGATCTTACCAATAAAATTATAAAAAGTAAGCAGTAGTCTTTAGCTAGGAAAGAGTAGACCTAGGTAATATTTTCCAGTCTCTAAATACTATTTCCTATGAAAAGGAACCAAGATTCCTTGAAAATGTGAAATTTGAAGAACTTGTTTCCTGCGCAGCAGCCCTGCCCCCCAGTCTGCTGATGTCATTCCACACAGGCCACACCGACTTCCAGACCCCACCATTCTCCTGCCCAGCCTGCTCTGCTCACATATGACACCGAACTGACAAAGCAGTCACCCTAATGGGATCACATCACAAAGTCCCAATAGATAAAAGATCAAGGCAGCATCTCAGCCCACACCTTTTAGGTCTATAGATGTGCTTGTCACTGGAATTACCTGGATGAATCCCAGGATGCATAATTTAAAAGAAAATTATAAAGTTCATCAAAACTCAGGGAAATTAAAGGAAATACAAAGAAACAAAACAACAAAAATAAGAGGAAAGAACTTAAGGAGAACAAACACCTGAGTGATGCCCAATAACAGCCAGGCACAGATGGAGAAGGGACTAGAGGGGCCCCACTCCTCAATGCTGAACTATCAGCTGATGATACATCCCGGGACAGGGGAGTGATTGCCTTCTGTGTCCAGTGGTGACCCCATCAGTCCCCAATATCCAATCCAGTGGTTGCACAGATAACCCTCATTAAACTGAATTAGTCATAAGAGGGGACCCGAGGCCACGGACCTGGGAAAATGACTGAGGGGAGGAGGGAACTGGAGGGAGATAAGGGGATGCTTGAGTAATCAGACTGCACTAAGTAGATGTAGGAGGTTGTTTAATTTAATTGATTTAAAAAACTGCTTAGTGTAAGGAAGTAGCTCTTTGTGGAAGACTGATTTCCATTTTGAATGTTTTGAATATGAATATTTTTTATTGGTTCAACAATTTGATTAACCAACCTTGATTAATTTCGGGGTTGTACAGAGTGCTGTGACAGGGACTTTAGGAGATGCAGAGATGAAGAAGACTCCTCCTGGACCTCTGGGAGCTCCCAGTTCCTCCCATTGTCTTCCATAATTTACAGATCAATTCTGTAAACCAGAGAACCTAGACAAGAAAGAGGACCTTAAGAGGGACATACATGGATCTAATCTACATAGGAAGTAGAAGAAAACAAGGCCTCCTGAGCAAATTGGGAGCTTTCGGATCATTAGAGATGGTAGAATGGGGCTGGGGAGGAAGGAAGAGGAACAGAGAAAAATATATAGCTCAATAAAAACAACAAAGTATTTTTTTAAAGGCAAGGTTTATCTTTCATTGGTGGTGCTTGTTGGTTAAGTGGTCAGTACTTACAGATTAACCTTGCTGGCCTCATAATTTCCCTTGCTCATAGTAAAATGACAAGCTCACGGTACTTTAGGTGGAATGTCCTGTGCTATGCGAAGATGCTCAGACTACTCTGGTATGGAAGTGGGAAGAGCACTGGGTCGCTGTTGTGTTTGCACTTTCTCTTCACTTCTAAGTACCACCTTCCACTTGAAGGACCCCCTGAAGTGCGTCTGACTCGGGAAGAGATACAAAAAGCAGGGTTTTGAGCAGGTGGTTCTTTTCATCAGAAATCACCTCAGCTAATGCTGATTATTTTTTTTTTAAAAAGGAGTCTTTCCATTTGATGTCTATAATAAAACGTTAAAAATTAATGATCTTAAAAATCAGTGACCACCCTACTCTGAGAATACACACCAGGTAAACCGCATAACAGAAAATGAAAGGGAGGTTTTTCTAGAAAGCTATTCTCCTAGTTCTTTGTATGATTACAGGATGGAGGGAACCTGGTGTGGGAGTATGGAGGGAGATGTATGTCATAGATACTCAGAGCAAGAACTGTGGCTTAGATACATTCACCACAGCATCAACTAACTGGCCTGTTTTTGCTTTGCCAAATGTATTGCTAAGAACAAGGGTGTAGTGAATGCAGAAGAAAGAATTAAAATACATAATCCAGCATCAAAACAAAACAAAAATGTGGGAAAGGTATCATCTCAGTGTATGAATGTAGAAAAGCTCCAAGGGCATTACCTTTAATCACCTCTGCCTGCTTCTAAGGGGTGTGGTTTCATGCCTCACCTGGCAATAAGCCATTCAGGCAGTCAGCCTTGCAGAGTGAGGAAAGAGCGGCTGAATCAAATAAGACAATTTACCAAACGTTTCCTTTTTAAACGTGGGAGATCAGTTTTGAAACTGCATTAGAAACCAAACAATTGCCAACAGAACTTCTGCCTGTCAGCTCCTCCAGAGCAAACAGCTTGGGTTTTCAGAGGTACTGGGATTTCCTAGGAAACAGGAGTGTAAACTTGAGAAAAAAAGCAGGCCCAGCATAGGAATGACAGGGAGCTGAGCTAATCATATCCTGCGTCTGTAGCAGCGTTTTTCAGGCCATCCAATTAGCACTGAAAGTTTTGAAGGGGAGGGACACCATGGGAAGACAGGTAAGAGGGAGGAGACATAGGCCATAGGAGAATACAAGAGTCCCCAGGGGCAGAAAGAAGTCCGTGTCCATAGTTTCCGCTTGAAGCAGCCTGTTGCTACAGATTAGCATTTCAGGTAACTTAATGTTCTTATTTATTCTATTACCTCTGTCACTTTTGCTTCATTTTTAAGTATGAGGCGCTATGATCTAAAGAAAAAAAAATAGCCTTGATGAGGAATCGTGTCCCAAGGAAGCCATCCCTAGGTTGTGGCTTGGCCCCTGGGGTAGTCTCCTGGAAGAGACGCTTAGAGAAAATTCAGTTTCATTTAGCAAAGGCGAAGGAAACAACCCATTCTGAGAGGCGTCTGTGCTCGGTTCTTGGATGAGGAGTGTTTTCATGATTTGCTAAGGATCCTGGTGCCCCTGATGAAACTAAGCCTAGGAGAATTCTGTTTCCAAACCACAAATCAACCAACAAATATATTCCAATATTTTTGTGAGGTAAATTTTACTGATTATGCCATAACTGTGGACTGTTGATAGATTAAGAATTAAAATTAGGGTTATAATTTTTTTTTTGGTGGTTTGAGAATTTTGTACACAGATGTTATGTATAAATATAACATCCCTCCATCTTGAATTAATGGCTTCTACTTTATCATTGTTGCATGTACATGCATCTTTCTTTCTCTCTTTCACACCCGCAGACTCACTAATTAAACCCATTTAGTGATGCCAGTAAGTACTTGGGTTTAA